TGACAGTTACTCAACCTTGACTTGTAAAGGACTACCAATCACAATGTCTTCTCATGTTTTTAACTAACAGCTTAATGSGACTGATAAAATCAATGGACCAATGGCTGGATTCAGGATCAAATATACAAAAGAAGGAGGCCCAGAAACGGTGATTGATGTGGGTACCATGACAACGTACACCCTGACGTCTCTGGAAAARAATACAATCTATAAAGTCACTGTTTCTGTAATGAATAGTCTCTATACAGGAAAGCCAAGTGTGGAGGTTAAGAATAAGACTCTGGAAGATGGTAATATAAGTTGCATTAATATATAGTTAGGATATTACGCGCGCTCTGATTAGTCAAAAACTGTGCTTTATTAGTGAACGGTGCACAGCACTGACGCCATCCGCGCGCGCGAAGTACTGTTTGATCCTGCGACCGTCTTTCTTTTTGCGTAAATCAATTCCATACCGCACAAAAAAAAAGTAACTATATAACAAAACAAATAAAACAGATTTTGCCGTGCTCCATTCAGTAATAAAGCACTTAGGAAGCGCCGTAAGCACTCAAGAAGTGTGAGTAGCACGCGCCTACGTCTCGTTCTTCTYATACTTTCGTGCTTATGCCATTTCCTGTGTGCTTTATTGCTGAACGGAACAAGCAAAAAGCTGTTTTATTTGTTATATTGTCAATAGTATTTCATGTTTGTTTCTGAATTAATTATTGTTAGTTAGAAACACCTCACACGCGCGATCAAGGGCGTCAAGCGAGAGCTAACTAACGGTATTTTTTATTTGAAATCTGTGCGCAAGCCATCATTTTTGCCGATGAAAGTCATTGGAAAATGGTCGAAACGTCTAACTAACAATAATAAAATCAGATGTAAACATCAAATACTATTGATAATATGAATCCTGAATTAATAAAAATTTGAAATACACCTACTTGCAAGAAGKTTGTCATACTAAATAACGAATTTACTAAATTACAAATGTTCTATTCTTGTATGAAAACATTGTTGCAAGTAGGTGTAAGTATAAACATACCAGTATATCACATATGTATTTTCGTAAGTACAATTAATTCAAAGATTTTTCGTCTTTCTTTCAGCGCCAGAGTGTGCACCAGTCTTGAAGTCTGTYCAAAGTCTTTCATCCAACAGTGTYCTRCTCATCTGGTCATCACTTCAAAATCTCAAGTGTACTAATGGTGTCTTACGAGGGTATAAAGTTGTTTACAGCGAATCAAAAAAGAAATTGAATCCATTGAAAGTCTATACAGTTGATAGCCGTAAGGCACAAACTGCTGTAGTCATGGGACTTGCCAAATCTGTAGAGTATGAATTCCAAGTTCAGGCGTTCACCGTGAAAGATGGACCT